GATTAGCAGCTCTATTCAGTGGGGTCTGGCTTGGAGGCTGGGATTCCTCTCATTCCCAAACTCATGCAAGCACTGTTTATCAGATGCAAGTATAGTGACTCATTCCTTTTCCAATAGTCTTTTCAAGATGTTTATTTGTATATGTATTCCTCAACAACATGAAGGTAAAGATGTGTTCCTGTGAACTCTTTGTTGTGTGTAAAGATTTGTTTAGTAGTTGTGGTATTTGCTAGTAGATACTTGATAACAACGGTGTTGGGTCTGTCCACCATCCATGTTGCCTCTGATGTGTACTTGCTGTGTTCTGCTTTCTAAGGGGCAGGCGTTCCAGAACAGGACTGACTTCCTCACTAGATTGGCAAGCTCACCCTGCAGCCATGATTCTCTTCTGTGTTTTGATCACTGTGTGGTCTGAACATGATCCCTTTAGTTTCAGAGACAAGGTTGCGACAGGCAGCCTCTTTTTGACAACTGAGCTCACTGGTTTTGCCTAAACGATGAATTCTTTTCCAGAAGGCTTTTTACAAAATTTATATAAAAAAGAATTTTGTAGTTTCTTTCCATTAGTTTCTGATAGGTGGAGCAAGGCTGAACCCCACTGATGGACATAGTTTGAAATCAGTTGACATCCTCGATACTTCTTCTTAACACTGGCATTTGGGCATGTGTGTGTGGTAGAGAGTGGTATTTATAATTGTAGTATTTAATCAGTGAGGATGCTGGCAAGCAAGATTTTTAAAGGCCTGAAATGATTTCAGACAAATGTGACGTTTTCCCACTCTGACCTAGTGAGTTTCCATACCCCCACCACTCCCAGTTGCACCAGTTTGACTCATCCACATTCATGCTGTGCTTGCTTGCTCTTTGTGGAGGAGCAGTGACATGTTTCGTCGTGGTCCATGAATCTCTCTTCCCAAGGCATTACTTCCGCATCTGTCCCTTCCCACTTCTGAATCATCACTTTTCTCTTCATCGTGATCTCTTGCCAGCAGCCCAGGGACGTATCATTATTTCCCCCAAATTTTCACTTGACTTCACATCCTTTTCCAGCTGCCAACTCACTTCTGTGCTTTGAAAGACATGTCTGTAATCATTCCCATTCTGTTTTCTTGTTTTCCCTTAAAAACTATCCTTTTCAGGCTTTTACACAACCCCCTCGACTGCAGTGGCTTTTGCCAACCCCTGAAAGGAGTTCATTCTGTGCTCATGTTGGCAGGTATCTGATGGGCTGGAAGGTCTCTTTCTTCCTGACATCCTCCCCTGACTTGGTTTTACTCACGTATTCCTTCTGGTTCCTCTCTTCCTCGGTCTTTGTCCCTGTGCCTCTAAGCATTGGAAAACACAGGGGCCCAGTGCTCTGACGCTAATCCTGTCAGCTGTGATCATCTGCTTGCCTGCCTTCAGTGAATTCCAAATACGTATTACAATTGTAGACTTCTTGCTGGCTGAAAGACTATTGCAGCTAGTCCTAAAGGCGTGTGTGTGTGTGTGTGTGTGTGAGAGAGAGAGAGAGAGAGAGTGTGGGGGGAGTGTGTGTGTGCGTGCATGCACATTCATGTTAATGGAAAGCTGTCCTTTTCCTCAAGCCCTTGACTGCCATCTTCTGGAAAGTTTTCAGAGTAAACACACACCTCTGTGATGACTGCTGGGTGTTTCCTCAGCCGCTGGCTGTAGCTCTGTGTCTGTAACAGATCCTCAGCAGAACTCTTCAGCGTCTCCTCTCCCTTCCTAACCTCTTCCTGCTCATCCTCTGCCCTTCAGTCTTTCCTATTTCAAAATTCTGGTTGTTGAGGTCAAATTCCTTCTTCTGGTTTGAAAATAGATTAGTCTCCTGAACTCATACAGTCGTTTAAAGCTCAAATTCATTAGTGAATGATATTAAGACGGTAGCAACTTAATCCAATGATGATGTCTAGCAAGTGGGCCTGGCGGGAGGGAGCTCCTTAGGTCACTGGGGCTGTACAGTGAGAAGGTAATTCTCTCTTGGGGTTGAATCTAAAAGGCCAACGCAAAAACTGGGCTCACCCTCTCTGCGTCCTGGCTCTCTAAACCTTCCACATGAACTCTGCTCCTGCCAGAGGCAAACCTGTGAGACCAGCCAGTCTTGGACATGAACCTCTGCATGAAGTTGGCCACCCACATTATTTCACTCCTTGAAGTTACCTTGACACCGCTCTTTTCCCATGCTTCAGTTTTACTGCATCAGCAAATCCTGTTCTCTTCTCTTTTCTTTTCGTTTCCTTTTCTTTTCTTGCTTTCTTTTTCCTTCCTTCCTTCCTTGCTTGCTTGCTTTTGTCTTTCAAACATATTACAGTGCATGGCTTGATGACTCAATGGGCTCATTTTCCTTCTGTAAGCACGGCATCCCATATGGGTACTGGTTCGAGTCATGGCTGCTCCACTTCCCATCCAGCTCCCTGCTTGTGGCGTGGGAAAGCTGTAGAGGATGGCTCAAAGCCTTGGGGCCCTGCACCCACATTAGAGACCCAGAAGAAGCTCCTGACTCCTATCAGCTCAGCTCTGGCTGTTGAGGCTGTTTGTAGAGTGAACCAAGAAATGGAAGATCTTTCTCTTTGTCTCTCCTGCTCTCTGTAAATCTGCCTAATAAAAATAAAATGAATCTAAAGAAGAAATGTATTAGAAGTTGACCAGTTCTTACCACGCTCTTGTTGCCATCTTGGTCTGCCTCATCAACTCTCACCCAGATTATTTCAACTGAAGCCTTCTGACTTGCTTCCAGCACATCGAGTTCTCCGTTAGCCCTAAACTTTTCCAATGGTCTACTATCTCAGAGTACAAACCAAGATTCTTGAGTGGTCCACAGACCAGCCACCATCCAGGTCCTGCCCCTGTGTCCTCCTGTGCTTGCCCTGCCCTGTGCTCCTCTCTCCCTGACCTGGCTCTGGCTCAGCAGGCCCAGTGACAGTTCTTCTGGGCACTTTGGCTGCCTGTTCTTCCATCATCTTTGCTTGTTTGTCAGGGTCCCTCGTCCCGCGAGTAAGACCCCGATGCGGTAAAGACTTTTTGAAAAGCTTATTGCTTAAGACTTCAAGTGTAGTAGCATAGCAAAAGCAGTTACAACAGTTGTAAGACTTATTGCAGCAAAGTGAAAGCAGCTACAGCGTAGTGCTAGCGATAGCAGCTACAACATAGCCTTGAAGTGATAGCCTTAGCTCTAGCGGTGCGCCTGGGAGAATCTCCTCATTTAACTATTTTTCACCCAGACCTTTTTACATTACACAAACCAATCCATACACAGTTCCTCACATCATGTGGTAAGCACACCAGTCATGACTTAGGTCACGTAGTTTCCCTGCGTGCTCGGCCCAATCCTCAGTAACTTCCTAAAACCTGTTTACCACCTTTGACCCATGAAGCAATGATCAACAAGTGCCATCTTTGAGGCACGGCTCCGCTCTCCACACTTGCTGCTTCCTTTTCCTGAGTCTTTGTGGAAGAACCTTTCTCACCTACATCATGTAACAAAACTCTCCTTCCCCCCTCCAAAACATTGGATAGCTCTTCCGATTTTATTTTCTCCAGATCTCTTATAATTTGGCACACACATTGTTTCCTATTTCATCTCATTAATTTTAAGATTTTGGGACTAGAGAGGTACTATTTCCCCATTTTCTTATCCCAGTTGGTAACACAGTGATTGATTGGTGGTAGAAGCTTGATAAATCATAGAGTAAATAATACAGGTATCCCTGAATTTTTGTGGGCTCCCATCCTTAAAATGACACAAATATTTAAGATAGTTTTACAAAATTGTAATCTCTCTACATAAATCCATTTTGAGGAGTCTAGGGTCTAATTTAAGTTTAATTTGAAAATTGGCATTCCAGCCTTCTGGAAGAGTGGTTTTTTTTTTTAACAGAGAAAGCAAGTCATCGCCCTCTAGTGGCTACAAAAGAAGTCTACGTTGTGTTCCTTTAGGTCCAACTGATTAATAATTGAAAATGTAGTCCCTTTATATAGAAGTTGATTGGCTTGATGACAGGAGTAAATAATTGTGATCACTGCAAGGCCGTCATTGTCCATTTTCTCAGAGCACATTGAATTATTTCTCACGCATTGATTTTTCCTTATTTTTATTTGTGGAATTATCTTTATTTTCTTAATTAAGCTTTTATTTATATTTGTTAAGGTTTTATTTACTGTTTTGCATTTGAAAGGCATATTTGCAGAGAGAGAGAGAGAGAGAGAGAGATCTTCCATCCAGGATTTCCAAATGGCTGCAATGGCTGGATCTGAGCCAATTTGAAGCCAGGATTCAGGTCCCAAGACTTTGCTCCAGTCGTCACTTTGACATATCAAAAACTAGATGATTTCAGTTCTTGGGTAAATTAAAGCAGTGTCCTTGACCCGCGTGGAGTCTAACTCTCTGGCTTAGGAGAGTTGGAGTCACTCAGGGAACTCTTGACGACTGTGTGGCCTGAGCAGTGGGCAGCTAAGCAAGGAAGCGTAATGAGAGAGGGCTGGGTGTCCAGAGTCTGGGCACTGACATTATTCTTTGTCCATGGCCTTTTTGCATGAAAGAATGTTGTTTGAAGAGCTCCAGATGACAAAAACCAGACTGAGAAAATGGCAAGAAGAAAGATTTCATACCAGAAGAAAGAAACATTTTCTGTATTTTTTAAAAAGATGTATTTATTTTCATCAGAAAGGCAGATTTATAGAGAGAAGGAGAGACAAAGAGAAATATCTTCCATTTATTGGTTCACTCCTCAAATGACAATGCTAGCTCATTTGAAGCCAGAAGCCAGGAGCTTCTTTTGGGTGGTTTCAGGGTCCCAAGGCTATTACGGGCCATGCTCCGCTGCTGTCCCAGGCCACAAGCAGGAGCTGGATAGGAAGGACGGCGTGCCAGTAATCACTGTGTTCTGTTCTGGTGTCTAAGGGGACGGCAGTGAACACACTGAGAACAAGGAGATACTGCTCTCTAATAATTATGGCTCCAAATGCACAAATTTAAGTCATATTAATTTGCTTTTTAGAATATGCTGAATTTCTGCATTGCAAAGGAAAAAAGTTTACAGACTTTGATGAAGTTCGCCATGAGATTGAGGCAGAAACGGATCGAGTGACTGGGGTGAATAAAGGCATCTCCCCCATACCCATCAACTTACGAGTGTACTCCCCACATGGTAAGTCCAAGTCTTCTGTAAAGCGTTTGCTCTATTAAGTAACACATGTTGTTCGGGTAGAAGACACCAATGGTGCTGTCCAGGGTGATGTTTGGATGATGCCAGACGTGGCATGCTCAGAGCATTTAGACTCTACGTACAGGAAATGGCTTAGAATCAGATTTCAGTTATTCATTGAAAACTTCCCATTACTTTTGTTAGAAATTGATAGAATTTGAAAGAGGTGTGTATTTTCTATTTTTATTGTCTTGTACATGGTTCCTTGTTTGATTTCCTGGAGGGCTTGTACATTTTTACTGATTTTCTTCCCGAAGAATGAATGTGATTTGGCCCTCTGTTCTTTGCCCAGGCTCACTGGGGAAACTTACAAATCAGATGACCAGTTCCAGTTTTATGATGGGAAAAACCTCTATTCTAACTAAATCTCCAGTGGGACAATTTCTTTGTTTCAATTTTTTCCCTAGTTTTGTTATTTTGAGAACAGAGTGTGAATTACATAAGCTCAGTTATTATCTCCCACGTGGACTTGGTGCTCACATTGTTGTGTACAGAGTTGGCAGGAGGCACACTGTGGCTGTTTCTGCATCTTCACACTTGACGCAGGGCAACATGCGAGTCTGCCAGCCTTCTGACGGGCTCTGTTAGCCTATAAATAATGTATGATGACTTTGAGAATATTTGTGCCATTTGAAGGTGGCAAACCAGACTGGCAGACAGAATGTACACTTGGTGTTGGCATTTATTGTAACCCTCTAGTTAATGACCTCCAGGGGTGACAGCACTCTGCGAAAACGACTCTACACGCAGGAAGTGCCTTTTAAGTATGTTAAATTGATCACTTGGCACAGCATGGTATCATCCAGCACAGCGGTGTTCATCCTGTGCTCTCTGTCCTGCACGCGGGTTGGAGTCCGGAGTCCCGTGTCAACCTGGGCGAATCTGTGTTGTCGATATCTGGCAGCACTGAAGGTGTGTGTAAGACCCTGCTTCTTTCCTTACAGTGTTAAATCTAACACTCATCGACCTACCTGGAATAACTAAAGTGCCCGTGGGAGATCAGCCACCGGATATCGAGTACCAGATCAGAGAAATGATCATGCAGTTCATCACCAGGGAGAACTGCCTGGTTCTGGCTGTGACGCCAGCCAACACTGACCTGGCAAACTCAGACGCCCTGAAGCTGGCCAAAGAAGTTGATCCTCAAGGTGAGTGTGGGACGCGGACCTGATGAGGAGAGTGTCTGATTATTTAAAGTGGGCATACATACTCACGTCTTAATTTCATTATGAATAAAATCAGCCGTTATTAGAGTTGTTAATTTTTTTGTGTTTAAGATGTTGAAAAAGTTGCTAGGGAATATACTCAAAACCTATATGAGAAAATGGGTATTTCTATGGTGTGTATCTTAAAAATCCCATCGATTCTGCTACAGCCTAGGGTAGCCTATTCGTTACTGTCCGAGCTGTCAGAATACAGCGCTGATGGAACATCTGCCTCTGAGCTTTTCATTTGTTTCTTTACGATAGGAGAGTCTTTTAATATTTATTAATAAAATACCTAGTTTAAAGTTATTTGGGATAAATACATGTGAGGGTACCTCAAAAAATTTCTGGAATATGGAATTAAAAGTTGAGTTGATGCGAACACTGAGATCCAGGCATAATTTTTTATAGTATGCACTTTCTGTGACCTTTTTAAGGATTTGTTCTATCATAAAAACAGATTTATCTTTTGTTTGCATTTCAGAATCCAGAGAAGTCCCTTCCTTAAGCTGATTTTTTAAACTTTGCGTCTTTCCGCCAAATGTTGATTTGTTTTCAGGGATGTCAGTGGCTTAGCACATGTGTGTCTGAAGTAACAGTGGAAAGGCACTTTCAGTATGGAAATAACTGTTCTTCAATTATAGGAATATTGCCTCTCTTAATAATCACTTGCCTCTATTTTTTAATCTGTAATTGTTGTAATCATGTTAGAACCATTGGGTTAATAATTTTTTATTTTAATCTTTATATTCTCTTATTCATTTTCATTGTTTTTATTTCTTTTACAAGCTATACTCACTGTTGTCTTTGTCTCTTCTGATTGATTTTTCATTTTTAATATAGATATTTAAAGATTTATTCATTGCTATTAGAAAATCAGCCTTGCAAAAAGAAGGAGAGGCAGAGAGAAAGATCTTCCCTTTGATGGTTCACTCCTCAAGTGACCACAATGGCCAGCGCTGAGCTGATCGGAAGTCAGGAGCCAGGAACTTCCTCCATATCTCCCATGGGGGTACAGAATCCCAAGGCTTTGGGCTGTCCTCGACTGCTTTCCCAGGCCACAGCCAGGGAGCTGTGGAAGGTAGATGGAGTAGCCAGGGTATGAATTAGCATCAGGGATCCCTGCATGTTCAAGGCAAGGACTTTAACCACTAGGCTACCATGTTGGGCCCCGCTTTTAATATATTTTTGAAGTTCCAATGGCATTTCCTTATTTTCTGAATGTAATTCTTACTTTTAAAAACAGTATCCTAATTTGGTGACTCAAGTAAAGTATCTTCTGCAAGGATTTTAGTGAGAGCCTTTGAGATTCTGTTTTTGTAATGTGCCTTGTCTGCACCCATATATTCCTGGCTGCTTGTTTTGGTCTTAGTGTTTGAAGTTAGAGATTTTTAAAAAATGTTTGCTTAGTGCTTGCTCCTTACGTAAGAGTGGGACACCAGCCTGGGTCATTAAGATGAGGCCTGACCATCTGGCTAGGTGACATCCTCTGTGATTAGATTCCTTGTGGCCTCTTGTCCTTGAGCTGGTCTAAGGTAAACCTTATGTCTTGTCTTATTGGAGCCAAGAGGATGAATAGATTGTTGCAGGTGCGAGCGAGATCACACCAGACATGTCTAAGGTTTATTAAGGAGTCTTTATTAGCCAAGCTTGGTGATAATAGAGCACAATAGAAAATCACAAGTCCATATGGCAATCCAACCAATCATAATCAAACCAGTCATAATCCCAAAAGGAACAAATGGTCATTACCCTGAAGTCCATCCATTAAGCTAAAGGCCTATGTCCCAGCTTCCCCAACAATATAAGTTATCCTAAGACACATGCAATGAATAACCTGGACACACTCACAAAGCTGCAGGCATTCACCTTTCCCTGGCTTCTCTGCCCACATTCCATCACTGCTAGGCCTCACCTCTCCTGGAACTCCTGACAGCACACAAACCAGAAACAACAGTATTATATCCATTGTCCCATCTAAGCAGGACACAGGGACCATGCTCTGGGGATCACCTGTCCTTGGTCAGCCAAGAGTCGAGGTGCCAGAGCAACGGAAGCACCTGGCCAGAAAGAGAGTGAGCCCTGGCTTCACGGGCCTTTTAAAGGGGCTTGTGAGGGGAGTGGTTACACAACAATGCAATAAGGTCCCCTCTCAGTTGATAGGTGAGTCACAGGTGGGCAGGAGCAAATACCTAAGTGTTGTGAGCTAAGGAGTTGACTAGTGCTTGTTCGGATGGGCAGGAACAGGAACTGGGTTTGTAGCTAAAAACACCTAGACTAATTGGACTTCCAATATCCTGGCTAAATTAGGACGTGGAGGAAATGGTTGAGGATGGAACTATAATTCCATTGCTGTTAGGACCCACCTTCAGGACAGAGGATAGAGAACACAGCCAGATTTCATTTGCCCACTGTCAATGGGTGCTGGCTGTCACTGGCTGCACCCCATAACAAGATTCAATAGGGACAGGAGTGATGAGGTTGAGTTGCAGGAAGAGTGGTTCTTATACTAGATTGTTAGTTTATCTCTGGCATTTTGCATCTAGCTGAGCTTCTAAGTGTCAGTCTTTGGTTCAGGAAGGGCGGCTGGGAGGCTGTTCAGCTTGGGGGCAGGGGTTTGAACCTCTTGACAGTTGTGTTTCTCGCTGCTGCTCTACTCTGCCCTTTGTTCTGCAGTTCTCGAGCCCTGGAAGCGTTCAGTTGTGGTAGCCGCCAGCACCCCTTGTATCAGGGACTGTCGCCAAGACTCCCTCTCCAGCACTAGCACCTTGAAGGACCATTGTATGGACGGGGATTAAACCACGCTTGTGTCCAGTTACCTTCCCACAGAGGGTCGAGTCATGTTTGACTATAAAGGGGGCAGGCTTTCCAGTTAATTTTAGTGAGTGTAGGAAAGTCACATTTCTGAAACATTCACACTTAATCTAGTAAAAGCTTCATACAAGAGTGCAGATAAAGCCACACAGTTCTTGATTCCTCGCTCGCCTTACTCGCCTTACTCGGGCGCCACCTCTTAAAAATCAGTTCTTTTCCCAGGCAGACGCTCCTCCCAGTTGACCAGATGGCTGCAATAGCTGCTGGCTCTTATTCTCACATTCTGCTTCCTAATGCCAGCAGAAAAACCAAAGAAGCTATTTTTTTTTCTTTTTGCATAAGCTATGAACTCTATCAGAAAAATAAACCAAAATTGTTGTGTGTAGCTCGGAGATGCTCCTGGAGAGTGCCTAGGCTCCTCCTAGGGGGAGGATGCGGTTAGAACCTAAAAAGCTGACTGCGGCAGGCCTGCAGATGGTCAGCTGGGATCCGCTACTGCTCATGAAGGGCATTTTCCAGGAAGGAATTGATCTTGGCAGTCTCACTGCCAGTGTGTGTAACATGTTGCCACAGCCTGTGTGCAATGTTACATTAACTCCCCGTCATGGGCTTGGAATTGTATGTGACAAACCTGCATGCAGAAAGTGAAATGAGATTTGTTGTTGCCACCAGAGAGCCAGCTCTTCAAGTTTTGTTTTTTTAATTCTGTTCCAGTTAGAAATTCCCATGTGAATGCTTATGAACGTATTTAAAATAGCTTGTCGTGGGTCACAGAATTGCTGCTGCCGTGGAGAAGCCGCCAGAGCCCATTTGTGATGTTCTGTAGAGGGCAGTCCTGAGAAAAGACCTTTGAGGGCTTTGATGGGGTGCCTTGGTGGAACTAGAGAAAAACGTTTGCTGACATCATGCAGCGCATCCCTGTCTAATGACTCCTGAATGCCGACTGTTCCTCACGATTATGTTTGCAGGGTCGTGTTCTGCAGTTAGGGTTATTTTCTATATACTGTCTTTGTTTTAGCTATGAAGTACTATTTGGGTCACAGAATTAGAGCATATATTTTCCTTTTCAGTCTTTTGGAAGAATTTCTGTAGAAAGGATTTTATTTCTTCCTCAAATGATATGTGGAATTTACAAGTGAAACTATTTGTCATGGATATTTTGCTTTTGTAATGATTTTTTTCAGACTAATAATTAAAATTATTTAAGAGATACCAGGATATTTAAGTTGTATTACTTAGTTAAGTTTAGTAGTTTAAGTCTTTTTTTTTTTAATTTTTAAAATTGTTTTATGATACAATTCCAAAGGCTCTGGGCCAACTATTTTTTGCTTTTAGAATCTCGAATATGTTGCTCCATTCTCTTCTGGCCTGAAACGTTTCCTGTGAGAGGCTTCCTGTGAGTCTGATTGTCATTGCTCTCTGTATGTGTCAGTTGATTTTTTTTTTCATGTGTACATTTAAGTATCTTTTCCTTGTGTTCATTTGAAGAGAGCTTGATTATCATGTGTTGTGTTAAGGATCGCTTTTTGTCAACTCTTTTGGGAGTTTTGTGCCCCTCCTGTATCCTGTTTCCCAATTCTTTCTCCAGATTAGGGAAGTTTTGGCTTATGAATCATTGAATACATCTTTAAACTTAGCTTCTGTTTCTACACTTTCTGGGACTCCCATAACTTTTAATAGTGTCTCTTAATTCTTGAATGCTTTTTTTTGGCATGAGTCAGATCCATTTCCAGCTTTTTGATTGTCTCACCATTGTGGCACCAATTCCATGATTTTTTCTTCTGCCTCATTCTTTCTCTTGTTGATTTTTTCCGTTGAATTTTTAATTACTCCATTATGTCCTTAATTTCTAATAATTCTGCTTTTGTTTCAGTGTTTGTTCCCTGTATGACATATCCCTTAACTTTTTGAATGTGCTTCTTGTTGCTGATTAGAAGCTTTATAACACGTTTTTAAAGTTCTTAATTCCTCCTTTCCTCAATTTATTCTTATATTAACTCTGAGTTTGACAAAGGCTCCTTTGTGGGGGAATCCTCAGTAATATTCATTGTGCCTCTGTCTTTTCTTTGCTATTTATCTTTGTACATCTGGTTGGCAGAGTCCTCTCCTTAGGGCAGGTTTCTATGCTG